GAACATAGGAGGCATTTGAGGAATGTGTCGACGAGGAGCGGTGTTCAACCCCCTGCCCAATCCTCATCCGTCCAATCCAACATAAACACCCCATCTCTACCCGCACTGACAACATCGCCCAATGCCACTCCAGTAGTGGACACATGGGATGATGCAAATGCAAACGACAACAATAACGTTAACAATAACAATAATGCAATGTCAGTGCCCCGCCCTACTTCCATGTCTTACTTTAGACCTTCTGCCCGTCGTCCGACCGCCATTGACACTCGCTCCTCTCGTGATAGACGTCCGCCTCTTAATGGGCCCCCACCCCCTCCATCGTGGTTGAATCCGAATAGGAGACAGAGAAATAATCAGCAATCAACTCGGTCGACACCACGAACCGCTCAAGCGAGTTCGTCGACGAGAGCAGAACCTTCGTCGATAAGAGGAGCCGGAATGTCGAAGAAGGAGAGAAAGCAGAGGAAGGAGGAAGAGGCGATGGATAAGGCGTATGGAAATGAGTATTGGTACAGAAGAGCTGATGACGCTCGATGGACCGAGTGGAGAGAAAAAGCGATGAGTTTGGTATTGGGAAGGAGAGCATCGAGTTTCGACTCGGAAGATATTCAGAGGAGCAGCCGGATGTTTGTCCCGTTCAAGGTGGCCCACGATACCGAAGGGGTACCATCCCTATTCGAGACGACCCTCAAATACATTTGCGACTCTATCGCAACAGCATCAGGAGAAGGATCAGACTATGATAACGATATCATAGTAGATGTATTTAGCTCGCTGCCACCACACTTACGGAAAAGCCTCTTGCGCTATATGGCCGTTCACCATCCACAATCCGAGCCTCAGCTGCGACGAATCTACGCTCTCAGCCGTGAGGAACCATTGATACAGGAACAAGGGGGCTTGGAACCCGAGATCATAATCAGTGGGAAGCACTTGGACGCTGGAATACTAGATCGACTCAACCAGCCTCTCACGTCAAAAGAGTCGACTATACAAGCCTCTGTCTCTCTCTTGCAAGAAGCCAAAACGATAATTCTATTCCAAATCTCGTCCCTCCAAAAGCGACAACTCCTCTCCTTCCCAAAGACACTCACCACTCTAGGCCTCATTCAAACCTATCCTTATTCTCCCCTAGACATCTTCGACGAAATGAAGGCCATCACGCCATAAGACAGGTGTCTCTTCGATCCGCTCTTTACGATACCCGTTCGACTTAATATGCGCTTTCGGCTAGACCGACTTACACTCCTTATTAATTTTATCTCTGGGTTTCCGGAATATCTTGTGATCTCCAATCTTTTACGCCGGGATGGTGATGGAACATGTTGTCATACACTACGCTTTGTATAGAATTCTTCCTTCTTACCTTTGTGATGGTAATGTACTGCTGCGCATCTTGTCTATCTATCGTCTGGATACGTGTAGAGATAGCATTCTTCCACGATCATCCTCGCATTCTCTCTTGTTACATCAACAGTGTCACTCGTTTATCGAAATAAAAAGTGTCTATTATTGTATTCAACACTCGTGTGCAAGATAACTACTCGGGTGGATCTACATTCGATGTAGAAGGTAAAGGAGTGTGTGGAGGTGGTTCAGGAGAGTGACCCGTCTCTTTCCATCGAATGTCAATGGGGCGACCGACAGAGTAAAGTTCCCTGTCCCAGTGTGCAATCCACGGCTGAGCAGTACCATCTGGAATGGACACAGCTTTTAGCTCCCTAAAGATTGCTGGCATTTCTCCGTTCAAGAGCGTTCGCATGTCGAAGACAACTTCAGGGGTTTCTGTCGTG